GGTACCGCGTGAAGCAGTGTAAATATGGTGCGAGCGGACCCATGCTCTTGTGAAAGGTGGTTAGGTTGATAATGTTTGGGTATGTCGAATTTTAGTTTTAATTGCGAGCATACGAGTATGTATTTATAATTTGAATTTACACCTTGAAGCAGTGTGTGAACTATGATTGCTATAATATGGCAATAATTGGTATAATATTTATTAAAAACTCTTCTCAGCATAGTCAAGTTAAACATCGTCTGCTTAGAGCAAACACCACCCTTACCTCACCGTCTACACTTCCATATGGAGGCGATCTAGTTCTAGAAATCGGAATACGTTCCAAGTATCTACTCTACAAGCTATTACTACTTGCGGAGCGACTGCTACTGCTGCTGCTGCTGGCTAGTACAATTACCTAACTACAGTAGTAGGGCTATTACTGCTCTGCTGCTGCTGCTGCTGCTTCTGTGCAAGTAAGGGAACTACTCATGTGCTAACATTTACTATTTACTACTACTATACCTGTGCTATAAGCAACACGGCATACGATGCGCAGCAGCACATATATCGTGTTAGTTAAGCTGGTTAAAGCGAGTTTAAGTTTTTCTGTTAGTGTACGAGTTCACGTATTAGTAACTTTATTACTTATACCACGTGGAACTCTTTGGACACCGGTTGTCGGCGTTGAGCCGAGCAACCATTTCCGGCAGAGGGCGTGTGTAGCAGGGCTAAGCGAAAAGCTGTGGGGATATTCTCAGCGCGATGACATCATTGCTAAACTTGAACGCGGTCAAGAATAAGTCACAAGATATTCTCAGCGCGATGACATTATTGCTAAACTTGAACGCGGTTAGGAATAGCACATCGCGTGACCGCTTGTGTTCTAACTGCGTACTGTGGGCGTGGCCCAATCACCAACCAGCTCTTCGGTCAGGTGACCCTGGTTTGATATCAAGTTCGATATAAAATCTATTCCCAGCTGGGCTCAGTTTCCCGCGCCCATAGCCACAACACTATGGTCAGAAGATACGCGCCTGCACCATACCATATACGCGTACCCCCACCATGACCACACACGCGCGATGGATATAAAAACCCACCGCGCGCCGGGAAGCCAGAGTAGTCTTAGTTAGCCAGTCGAAGCCACTTAGTTAGTTAGTCCTAGTCAGCCACGTAGCCACACGTAGTGAAGAAGTAGAAGAACTTATATGTGCTGTAAAACATTACCTAGTCTGTATTTAGTGATTCTCTGAGTAGAATAAAACCATCTAGTCTGTTGCAACAAATACGTGTATCTCTACTGTGAAGTTATTCGCTACTCGCCTTACGTCGCACAAGAGGCAAGTCTGACATTTCCCTCAAGCGGAAACGCAAGCACGAACAGAAACAACGGGTGAAGAATGAATACACAACGCAAGGTTTATAACATTACGACCTATACGATCACGTGCCTACACACAGTCGGGCATCTCCCAACGTGCCTTACGAATCGCCTATAACACTGATACAACCCACATCTCATGTACATAGAGAGAGGCCTGGTACACACGCACGCACGCACGCACGCACGCACGTGTATGTGCACACACACGGACGCACGCACGCACGCACGTGTACGTTCACACGCACGCACACACTCATGCACGCACGTGTACGTGCACACGCACGCACGCACACATGCACGCACGTATACGTGCCCACGCACGCACGCACGCACACACGCACGCATGCACGCACGTGTACGTGCACACGCACGCACGCACGCATGCACGCACGTGTACGTGCACACGCACACACGCACGCACGCACGTGTACGTGCACACGCACGCACGCACGCACGTTCAGCCTAACTGCACCTTGCCCCCGTAACTGGTACCACGTGAACAGTGTAAATAGTGGTGCACCCCATGCTCTCGTGAAAGGTGGTCAGGTTTTAATGTTGGGTAATGTCGAATTTTAGATTTAATTCGACATAGAGTATGTATTTATATTTGATTTACATCTTGAACAGTGTGTGAACTATGATTGCTATAATATGGCAATATTGGTATAATATTAGTTAAACTTCTCCTCACGCATATAGTCAACTAAACATCGTCTGCTTAGACAAACACCACCCTTCCTCACCCCTACGCTTCCAATGGAGCGATCTAGTTTACCTATGTCGTCATGTGGTACATGTTACGAACCTCAAACTCGTACTGCGCACACACGCTGCACGATTTTCGACAACAAATACAACAACAATTTACGTGGAGAAATCGGAATACGTTCCAAGTACTACTACTACAACTACTACTACCACTACTACTACTGCTGCTGCTGCTGCTGCTAGTACAACTACTACAGTAGTACTATTACTACTACTGCTGCTGCTGCTTCTGCTGCTAGTACAACTACTACTACAGTAGTACTATTACTGCTGCTGCTCCTGCTAGTACAGCTACAACTACAGTAGTACTATTACTGCTGCTGCTGCTGCTGCTGCTTCTGCTGCTAGTACAACTACTACAGTGCTATACAGTACTATTACTACTACTACTACTGTGCTATAACAACACGGCATACGATCGCAGCAGCACACGTACTGTCGTCGATGCAGAACCGCACACACCGTGGACACACGCTTTCTGAAACCTAACCAACAGCGACGACGACGACGAGGATGACAAGCCGCCGGATGTTGCTTGCCGTCGCCACGGTGATCCTCGCCTGCTCGTGCGTTGCCGCGGCAACAAGCGTCTGCGATAGCACCACCTACAGCGGCTGCCCGCCGTCCGTCTCCCCGTGCTCGTGCTCGCTGGGAGGGGGTGACTACGCCGCGTGTCCGTACGTGCGCTGCGTCGGAAACTCGGACACGTCGCTCGCGGACGCTCTTTTGTTGATCGACCGGCCCGTCTACTCGCTCGTCGTCGACGGCTTCACCTCCGCGCGGTTCCGCAATGCGACCTTCGCGAAGGTCAGCGCCGAGCGGCTGTTCGTCGAGAACAGCACGGTGCTTAGCGAACTCACGGCGGCTGCGTTCGCCGGCGCGGGCCGCGTCGAGGAGCTCTGGCTTCGCTTCAACGCGGCACTGACGACGGTCGACGCGTCGGCGCTCACGCAGCTGCACCTTCTCGTCCTGTACGACGCCGCCGTCGCCGCGCTGCCGCCCGGGTCCCTCCCCTTCGACCTTCGCGAACTCACGGTCGAGTTCTGTACGAACTTCCGAGTCGTGGCGGCGGGGGTGGCGGCGTCGCTGCGCTCGCTTGAGGCCGTCACGATGCGCTGGAACAACGCGATCATTGTCGACGCTGACGCATTCACCGAGAACAACGCCGCACTGAAAACCGTCGACCTGTCGGAGAACGCCATCACAGCGATCACGGTGGGAACGTTTGCAAACCTTCCGCAGCTGGAACGCGTCGACCTGACGAACAACGCGGTGACGGCGGTCGCGGCGGGGGCGTTTGACGGGAGCGAGAGGCTGAGCACGATCCTGCTTCGCGGAAACCAGATGTCAACGGTTGCCGCCGGCGTGTTCTCCACGCTCCCCGCACTCAGCGCCCTCTATCTGCAGACGAACGCGATCACGACCTTGCAGCCCGGCGCGTTCTCCGCGAACAACATCGCGCTCAAGAAGATCACGCTCTCCTGGAACTCCGTCGAGCATGTTCCGGCCGGGGTGTTTAACAAACTCCCCGCGCTCGCGCTGCTCACGATGGATCACAACGAGCTTCGGGAGATCGACCCAGCGGCCTTCTCCGTCACGAACGTAGCGCTCGCGACCCTCGACCTCAACTCGAACAAGATCGAGCGCGTTGCCGCGGCGACGTTTGCACCGCTGCCTTCGCTCACCACGCTGCGTTTGCACATCAATCACGTCGCCGATGTGGCGCCGGGGGCGTTCTCGCGAACGAACGCGCTCCTCGCGGACGTATCGCTGTCGTTTAACCGTCTCACGCGCGTCGATGCGGCGACCTTTGGCGTCCTTCCCGCGCTGCGCTCGCTCAAACTCGGCAACAACCTGATAGAGGGCGTTGCCGCGGGAGCGTTCTCCTCCGCTAACGACTCGCTCGTCGAGTTAGAGCTGAACATGAATCGTCTCGAGGAGCTGGAGGTCGGCGTGGTGTCAGAGGTCGCGGCCCTGCGCCGGCTCCACCTACAGGACAACAAGCTGACTACGCTGGCGGCGGAGGCCGTGCCGGCTGGAATCAGCATCAACCTGAAGGGTGAGTGATGCTGCGGTAACCATGACGACGGGGACACGGTGGCTACGCTGTTAATTATTAATTATGGTATTACATTTTTTAAATAATTAATTATTAATTAT